TTACAGACATCTGTATGCCGCCTCTAAATCGCTTATTCTCATCCACCACCAACTCCTCCTCCTTCTTCTCCTCCTTCTTCTCCTCCTTCTCCTCCATCTCGGTCTACTCTTCCTTCTTATTTTTGAAATTGCGTGATGATATGGCAATATTTATTAAAGCTGATCGAAATACACGCGTTAGTATGACCAGTGGGGCTCTTACATGGTTGGCGGTGCATCATCAAGCTTTAATGACTGTGCCGGATATTTTTCGCGCGGGTAATGACTGCTGGGAGCTCTGTAAATGTTTGACAACTGACTCACGTGTAATCGGTTCTGAAACAGGGAATTTCCAACTGGGAAAGGCAAACAAGTAGTTCGAGCATCACAGCTTCAGGTGCACGCGGCGTGAAGCTCTATGGGAATAGACACATGGTCCAAGTAAGGATCATGGCACAACAAAGCACGCCGATACGATATTTGGTTACTTGGCTACTTGACTACTTTAGATATTTTGCATATATACATGTGTACGTTGCATATATACACAATCGCATGCACGCAAAATGCAAAGCGCATATATAATCGTGGTGGGAATGTAACTACTGCAGTAAATCGATTTAGCACGTTGCTTGGCATGATTAAATATTCAAGTTTATGGCCTAACATCTTTCATTTTTAACAAATTAATTTTAACCCGAACTCCCGAGCAATTATATAGCTTCATAACATCGCTGCTAACCAGTGAGGTATAATGGCCATTGCACACATGCCTGTTGTACGCATTAGGTTATCAATTGGTGGGGGGAAACAAAAAGGAATGGGAGGGAGAGCACGTGATACGGAGGTAGAAAAAGAGAGAAAGGATGAGAGTGCGAGAGAGCACACAAGAGAAAAGGTGTAGGGAAAGATGTAGAAGAGAGCACGTGATACGGAGGTAGAAAGAGAGAAGGAAAGATGTAGAAGAGAGCACGTGATACGGAGGTAGAAAGAGAGAGAAAGGAGGAGAGTGCGAGAGAGCACACAAGAGAAAAGGTGTAGGGAAAAATGTAGAAGAGAGAGAAAGAGAAAGAAAGAGAGAGAGCGAGAGAGCTGTCTGTATTATGTGCGTACGTGCATGCGTGCGCGCGCGTGTGTGTGTAAGTGTGCTTGCTATAAAAAGAAACTCAAAGACCATAACAATTTGAACTGGATTTGCCATGCATTCTAGTCAGTCTGAGCCAGCGCAAAGCCGCGTTTGCGGCTTGCTTACGGAAAAAGGCGGGGCATCTACGCTTAAGCCAGCGCATCGCTTCTGCTCTCCCTACACTGACACGCTTTCAATGCTAAACAAATACAGAAAAACTAGAAAGCACAGGATCACTTGTTGAGTGTCATGCAAGAGGAACGACTTTCTTTCATCTCTCACGAGTTCGGCGTTTTTGCCAACGCAGGCGTAGTGGTTGATTAATGCGGTATAGTTTTGACACTATATGTGAGCGATTCATCGTTCGAAGCAATGCCTACGACTACTGTCTTCTCTTTGTAGATGCTGTTCTTCATGAGAATCTCTCAACGTGTTATTATATTTTATTCGAGCCATGTTTACATATTGTATGTGCGACTGCCGTAGCGTCTCCGTTCGCAAAAAGTACACAGTTCGCTCAGTTGTTAGGATATATCTATTGTCGTAAGTGACAACCGCAAGTTGTTTCCCAAACAAAACATCGATTATTGGGATAGCAGTAGAAGTAAATTGGGGCCGCCCCAAGGACTGGCAGCGACGTTAATGCCGTCGTCCCTAAAAACGACCTATTTAAATTATCGACTCAACAATTAAAATAGAATCGATTGTCTAGATTAAATCACAGATCTGCGCAATCAATCACCGCCTGACATACGCAACAATCGCGAGAGAGATAGAGCGAGACGCGTCGGCCGCGAAGAAAACTTAATCAACTCGTTAAAGCCGGACCGATTCTAAGACAAATCAATTAAGGGCTTCATCTCTCACGGCGATTAGTCACCGAACGGGAGGAAAACGCCTAACGAGAAAATGTCGACGAGCAATTAGAGAACAGGCGATGCGCTCGGCCGATCAGCCTGTATTGTCATCTACTTATTAATATTAACGCAGTCATTTATGGCTATTACAGCGAGCGGTAGTGCTCCTCCCAGCAGATGCAAGCAGCTGTGTCGCTGGTGACCAATTCAGCATAGTAAATTAGGACAGACGTCCCATTAAATTAATAGCCTTACGAGATCGCCGTCGTGGCGCGACCTGACAGCATGCATTCATGGAGCCTAAATATTATTCTTCGGCCGCGGTTCGATGATGAATATCATTGTGAAGTGCATTTGATGATGCGGTTTACAGCCGGTTTTAACGTGAGTAATAAGGATTTGCCAATCAGTCAAACAGATGGAAGAGCCACTCAATATACGTATTTGTCGCGAATTCCGCGGGAGATGAAAAACTAGCTAATTTCGACGGGAATGTCTTTCGAATCTGTAAAAGCCATCAGATTGAATGATGACGATGAATTATACTTCTTTCTTAATTAGCAATTACGTTGAATAATTAAACAGACAACACAATGAATGTCCATCACTTTGGTAATTTACATTAATAATCAGCAGTTAGATAATCCACGTGAAATCACTCTGACAATCTCATTCAGATTTACATGGAATATGTAAATTAATGTGGAATAATTTCGCTCAACAAATTAATGTATTTTTATTAATTTCTCTACGATGATTTTCTTTTACGCCCGGAAAGTCAAAGGGCACTTCGCTTCCAAATCCTAACGAGACATACATTTGGTCGTGAACGTTGGGGACTTTGTCCGTGTATGTACCGCAGGCTGACCTATGCATGTCAACATCTCAAATGTTCGAAATAACTCGCGACCGGTAGAAATCTAACCAAGAAGTCTAGTCAACCAAATCTAGTCAACTTCGATTGCGCGCCCCGAAACAAGCCGATGCATTGAACAGGCCGGGACTCAGACGAGGATCGGATCTGACAGGAGAGCAGCGCTGTGGAGACAGCAGCACGTAGCCCTGATAAACGTCGCCTGTCCTACCGCGTCAATCGCTCAGGTTACCAGAGTTCTTACGCTGAAGCCAAACTAACTGCATCGGCACTCACGATCACGACGCAGTTGGTATGTACAGGTTTTTAAAATTTTATTTTTAAATTTATTTACGCTTTCAAAATATTACATAGCTATATATATATCTCAACAATTTTTAAATAAATGCAGCGAGGAAGGGCGAGTTGACTGTATAGTCTTCAAGTCAGCCACTCCGTGTGGTACAGGTGGGTCGGCGTGTACAATGTAGGCGCACGGGACCGATCAGATCATCACCTGCGCGGAGGAGGGTTCCGTGTTTGATCGACACCCTCGTGAAGGAAGAGTCGGGGATGTTTCTCACTCCCGGCGGAAATATAAACTCCGGGTAGAGGGTAGACAATACTGCTCTACATCACAGAAGAAGGTGATGATACTCTGATGTGTTTTGCGAGGACGGAGCGCTGCGATATTGTTTTTTTTTGCGTTCGGAGGGGAACAAGATTATCCGTGCACGGGAAAGAGAGGGCTTTCTGTTTCCGGAGGAGGGGGCACTGTTCCACATTAGTAAGGGGAGGGGCACCACCAGATGGTCAAGCGAACCGGAGATCGCCGTCCACGTGAGCGTCTTGTAAGTTTCGCCGATAATTCCTCGCCAATCTGTATCGGGATCCGGCTCCCGGCCGAGTTTTTTTGCACAGGATGAGGAGGATTAGCTCGTGTCTCATCCAGACGGCAGCGTCAGATATACAGACCATGTGGCGAGAGAGAGAGAGAGAGAGAGAGAGAGAAAGAGAAAGAGAGATAGAGAGAAGAAGAAGAAGAGAGAGAGAGAGAGAGAGAAGAGAAGAGAGAGAGAGAGTAGAGAGAGAGAGAGAGAGAGAGAGAGAGAGAGAGATCGAGAGAGAGAGAGAGATAGAGAGAGAGAGGAGAGAGAGAGAGAGAGAGGAGAGAGAGAGAGGGAGAGAGAGAGATGAGAGAGAGAGAGAGAGAGAGAGAGAGAGAGCGAGAGAGAGCTGAGTGCACTCTTTGCTATGTGGATGAGTGCACACGTGCGTGCTTGTATGCCTGCGCGTGTACGTGCGTGAGCGCGTGAGCCGTGCACGCACAGCTGCGAGCGTAAGCGTGTGTGCGTGTGTGTGTGCGCGCGCGTGTGTGTGTGTGTGTGTGTGTGTGTGTCGTGTGTGTGTGTGTGTGTGTGTGTGTGTGTGTGTGTGTGTGTGTGTGGTGTGTGTGTGTGTGTGTGTGTGTGTGTGTGTGTGTGTGTGTGTGTGTGTGTGTGCGTGCATGTATGTGTGTGTGCATGTATGCGCGTGTGTGTGTGCGCGTGGGTGCATATATCTGCACAAAGAATTTAAATATTTGTCAGAGAAGATGTCGAAGGTTAAGCAGCCAATTTACCTTTCCATCATGCAAAGAGACAACTTTACTGAGAATGAAAACGTCAAGGAATAAATTAAATTTTGTAGATGACAATAATATGGTTAACTACCGGTAGTGTGAAGAAAAATTGTTGCCTATTAATGGCTGTTGTTACTTCCCACGGCAATTAGCGCACTGCGTCGATGTACTAATCATGACATCTTAATTAGTTCCTCGTCCACAGTTACCCAACCACGACTGGCTCTATTCCTGACGTCTGCTCGATTTATGGGACACACGAATACATAAATTACGTCAACAAACAACATGCGAAAAAAATGATTACCACAATCATGCCCGCCACACTTTCAATGGCAACTCGTCTGCCCACTGCACGCAGGCCCATCGTCCGCGAAAATTGGCAACGCTGCGCTTCTTGCATGATTAATAGGCAATGAATTATTTACGGCAAATTTTAAATAAAATAATGAAGTTCACGCACGCGGGGCTTCGAGCACGCGATTAAAATTTTATATTATCCATATATATTTTGTTAATTAAATACAACACCGTACGGTACGTGCGAGTCCTATAAGCGCCTACCTGAACACTTTCCCCGTAATTCGCAATAACGGTCTTGCTAACACGATAACTCGGCTCCTGCACGTTGATATACAGTCCGTAGATTATCTCACACCAGCAGCATATACAAACAGCAGCGATTAAACACTATCACGAACGTAAACGCTGGTACTCTCTATACGTCGGCGAATTCACACGGTGAATGTCGGGTAGCCAGAGAGCGCACGCTCTTTCTCTTGCCTCTATGTCGGAGTCTCGCAGCGGAAACAGCACGCCGTGCGTCGGTGACCACGAATGCTAGCGCGTATATATCGGTGGCTCGGCGCGGATACAGCTCTCACTGCACGCACAACGACGGCCTTGTGCTGCTAACGCACGAAGTTTCGACGTTTCCTTCTCGCTGACCAGCGACTGTGGGGGCGCCAGTGAACACGAGCTTCGACAGAAGAGTGAGAGCTAGCGCCGCGCGACCACGGAGTCTCCGTCGGTAAAGTACAGACGCTCGACAGATTACACTAATGCCCACCGTCTCGATCCTCATTGGTCGGCGATAAGCAACACTTACAGATAAGCGTTCACTCCATACCGGAGCGCTGTTATTGGAAGGGGTGGTCGACAATGAGTCCATTGCGGGACACAAACTGTGTCTTTCAGTGCAGTGTCTGCGGACGACAATGTATAGCGGGGAGGAGGGGGACATGATAGTACAATGCTATCGTTAATGGCGTTGACAAAGAGACCTGAGCTCTCCGCTTGTCTTGCCCTGCCCCGGCCCGTCGCTACCTCCCCCCCCCCCGCTAATCGCTGGGCGACGACACACCGTCTCAGGTGTTTGCTCGATCCCCGACCGACCACGGGACACAAACGATGCACTGAGATTTGGCCGCACTTACGGCGGCGATTTCCCCGCCGGCGTCGGCGACGGCAGACGGACAAACGTTGGCGGAGCGTTTCGAGCGCGCTGCGAAAGCGTCGGTTTCATCCCTCAAATTCCAGCCGCGCAAATTCGCATTGACGTACCTGCGTCACCGGCTGTCATAACGATCACGAGATGCGGGTGATGCGAGCGCAGATTGCACCGGCTGGCGGCGGCTCGAACACTAGCATTCATCAACCCTAGTAACGATCAACCAGCCGGATTGATGGCTCCGAAATCATACACGATACGACGATACGATCGGGAAGGCGGGAGGGGCAACGAAACGCCGGGAAAGCGGCGAATGCTGATTTTACGAATCGTGCCGTGAAACATGGCCGCGTAGAGGTTTTTGGCGCTATACGTTGAAAGTCTACGGGTTAACTCACAGACGCCGCTGCCGCGCCGTAAGACGCAGGCATGCATCAAACAGCACCGAGATCGTGGCCGACAGCAATGCAGTATCGCTCAATGCACAACCAGAGATTAGCAAGCCGCACAAAGCATTGCTCAGAGCTGTCAGTCATCTCTTAATAACACGTATTACCACAGAACAGGTTTAGAAGTAGACTCCGCGCCCGGTAATAGCAATTAGGACATATTATTGTTCCATTTACAAGTGTTGCGACAACTATTCAATGTAACGTGTAATATATTGTTACTGTACTTTCGTTTGAACTTTCGTCGTCTCTTTTATTAACTGACATTAGTAGGTGTATTGCTGAAGAGGTCGTTTACAGGTAGCACACAGAAAAGAAGTACATTTTCACGCTGGTGTGCACTTCTTAGTATAACGTGTTAGATAATAAGTCGGTTGGTGCCTGCTCAACGACAATCGTTTATCATTTACAACCATATATTATGGTCAGGCTCACCGCATGTGTGCGTTTACACTTATTCGACACAGGTAGTTCTTTATACAGACAAAGTTTGTGTCTCGTTAGTACTTGCACATCATAGAACCGAGTCGAAAATCAAGCAATCGCGTGCATTTCTAACGCTTCTTTTTTGGATCTTCGTTCTTATAATTAAACACATTTATATATTGATTAAAAAGTAACTTTTAACGTGCCAAGAATCATTTGCACACGAGCCAATTGCCAGTATCAGAATTAATTTGCCATTACAAGAAACTGTAAAAAGTTATATGGGTGTTAAATATTTAATAAAATGCACGCAAAACAACTGCCAATCGCAGTGCAATTCCGATTCGCATCATAATTCCACAGGGCACTATAATTATTTAATATATACTTGCTATCTAGAATTTTAAGGAAATCAATTACCACCATCTGTCAATTAGCAAGATCGTCTTATTCATTCCCGTACCGATGATTATAGTGGCAGAAACAGTGCCGGCTAAGATATGTAAATATTTACACAGAAACTAATTTCCTGATAGAATACTGACTTTCTTATAAGGAGCACAACACTGTCTTAGAGTAGCCTAGCACCTAACTTGTTATAGTTTTAATTGGTCAGGATCAACTTTATTCTTTCGGAAATTGTCAAGATATTTGAAACATCTCGTTATGTATGTAAACAAGATGTATAAATGTTCTACCATTGGACTTTGAACAAAGCGTCCCAACCCCCTTTGTGTCATTCGGGTAGCAGATGGAGGGATATGCGCAATCGTTATCGTATAGGCAAAAGCAACGATATTTCACCATAACTGTACGAAATGCGGATCGACAAGGGTATAGTACTGATAATTTTCTCTGAACGTGCACGATAGCATTATATTACCCAGCTCACGGACTACACGGCCAATTTCAGGCCCTCCTGCTTATGTCAAATCGGCATCATCGCTGACAAGCGACCGTAATCCTTACATTTTTCCATGAAAGGTGTTGGCAGGCGTGCATTTCGGCCGAAAGAGAGATTCCAGCTGCTATAGAAACGTCGGATTGGCAGTCCCAGTAACACGCCAGTCTTTCGCAGACCTGAGTCTAATCGCATTGCGACAGGTACACATTAAAACTGCTTATAACCTTACCAAGGTATAGATGAAACACGCCGAGGCAGGCAGACGACAACTAACGTCGAAATCCACCAATCGGGAGGCACCTCGGAATGGGTTACCATGACGATGACGGCTGCTTGATATTTCGGTAGAAAATCAAAATGACAGGTTAACTAAAGCTCTGGGAATGGCTACAAACCGTATTGCAACCTGTCTGTGTACAATGTCTGCACAAACACTGCGCTACTAATGGAATCTAGGATTAGGGATGGCACGGGGCACATGCATGTAAATTGGCCGAGCAGCCTTCAACTGATCATGACAGCTGCTCGCAAATACCGCGTCATTCTCCCTCAGCAGTTCTTTTTAGAGATCACCGTGGCGTTTTTATGCGATGACTAGCGTCTTTTTTGCTGTACCAGTCACACTGCCCAGTGTCTGCATTGCACCGGGAACAGATGCATTCGGTCGGTAACTATATCTACACATAATATCAGGACTGTATAATAATAGATAATACATTATTATACACTCCTGATAATATGGACGCATGAAAACTACACCGATAGGTTGAGACGATTTTGGAATTATTCAAAAGACGTTGCCGACTTTCTTTAATTATTGCCGCTACTAAGATGGTTTCCCGCTTCACACACTCTCCTATAAAGCAAGTTCAATATTGGTTCCATCTACGGCGGATGCCATTAGCACTGTCTGAGCTGGTCAAACAAATCTGCAAGCCGTGGCTGCCATAACAGGTTGTTAACACTCTTCGGTTTGTCCTGCTGCCAGTGCAAACAAATTGGTAACGGGCACCGAGCACTTCCCACTTTGTTATCTAACGATAGACACCGGCTCGGCTATCTATCGCGCGTTCTCGTGGGATCCACATCAACATGGCGCCGTGGCGCTGTTGAAGGTCCGGCGCCAACGACAAAACAATAATAGACTACGATTGTACGGCTGCTATATATTCCACACATTCCTTTTCTCGCCTCTCTATACCAGACTCTCTCTCTCTCTCTCTCTCTCTCTCTCTCTCTCTCTCTCTCTCTCTCTCTCTCTCTCTCTCTGCCTCCCTCTTCCACTATCTGCCTCTGCACGTCTCTCTCTCTCTGTGTGGGCGTGTGGGTGCATGCGTGCGCGCGCGTGTGTGTGTACGTACTTGCGTGTGTCTGTGTGGCGGCATGTCTTTCTCACTCCCTCTGTCTTTTCGGTTTATCTACCCCATATCGTTCTCTGACTGTTCGGTATACGTCTCTCTCTCTCTCTCACTCACGTTCTTCCCCCTCCCTCGCTCTGTCTTATTCTTTCATTCTCTTCCCTTTGGCTGCTCGAGGCCGCACAACAAATTTGCTCGGCGCATTCCAAACACGGCGACAATTAGGGAGCTTTGCGGAGACTCACATGTGGGCGCCGGGTGATCGCTTGGACAGAGCCGCAATTTTAAACTCAAGCGCGCGCGCCGCCAATGCGTTTAAGTATCGCATCCTCAACTCGGCAATAACGTATGCCATCTAGGCCATAATACGTACCAGCCGGAGAAAAATTAAGCACGCCGGCAGGGAATCCCTCAAAGGATTCCAAGCATTTCGCCGCAAGTGTGTCGGATACACTTGCCACCGAACGGTACATATCAGCGACGAGTTTCCTCGCAACCTGTAGATGTTTTCACCTGCGCTGACTAATTACGGTCGCTTGTTGACAGACGCTCGCAATGCACGCGTCGCACGATGCGCAGCGTCCTGCCACCAAAGCGAACCTTCACGGAGCTTCACTACAATCACCCTCGTCCTCCCCAAAGCAATTCTCTCAGTGACACTAAACGATGCGACTCATGTATATCCGGTGCGAGAAGCAACGTTTGCAGAAGCAGCGAGCGAGATGTGGAGCGCGCTCGGTCCGCACAACAACGCGGCAGATTCCGCGACTGAAACAATCGCGCCACGCGACAACACCGCAGACGTGTCCGATATAACTTTCCGATGCCGTAATCGGATAACACTCGTTATTTTTACCGAGACACGAACGCGAGAGAGACTGCGCCGTGAAAATAAGCCGCATCGAATACCATTACATTTCTTCGCGGAGATCGAAATGCTTCGAATTCGCTCCTCGCGCGCTCGTTTCGCGGTAAAAATAACGAGTGTTATGCGAGTAGGACAGATGGTATATGCGCGGCGACGGCGGCAACTTTCCCGAGAGACGAGCATTGGAAAATGCCGACAAGAGAAAAAGCTCCGACTAGAGAAAATACTGAATTATACCATGGTAAATCGATTGCGATGCGGGGGAATTTTTCATTAGAAAAAGAACTAACGACTTGAGCACACATACCAGCTGCATTTACAAACGCGCTGGGTGACAGTAGAACACTATGCGGACATATATTGCACCGAGCGTGTGTCGATAGTCTTTGTTGTATTTCTAAAATAGATCATGTATATCTCTCAAGCATTTCATTCAGCTTTTATTTTATTGCTCTTACTATAACTAGTTGTATTAACTAGTTATATGATCGTTAGATTCACGAAATAATATTGATGTTTGATAGA